CTTCAAATTTCAACAATTCCCAATCAAAAAAAAAATTACCAAAAAGATCACAAGATATAATTACAATTCTTTCAGATTCGGAAACAGAAATGACATCAAATAAAAGATCTAAAATTGTACTAGAATCAAATAATTCACATGAATTAAAAATCGAAGAACAAAAAATGAAACTTCAAGAACGAGCTATTGCTATTCGTGAAAAGGAGGTTGAGCTGCGAAGAAAGGAAGCTGAAATAGAAGCTTTAGAATTAGCTAATAAAAAAATGAGAAAAGAATTAGATCATATTGTCTAATTATTAAAGAAGCGCAATGCACAATATATACGTATTATTATGATTGAAAATATGTAAAGATCGCGAAATAATTAATTAAAAAAATATGTAATGTAGAGTTTGCGAAATATGTATGTATAATTTATGTTATACAACTATACAAACAATAGTATACATTACATACATATCGGTTCATACAGTACATATTTCCGTAATACCCTAAATAAAACAATATTAATCTGAACAAGGCTTTCATTACATATATTTTAATTTAAGTATTTAAACAAGTTTGTAAGTCACCACGCATTTTTTTCGCCAATATTATTCTATTTCTATTAATGCTTATGAGCATTTACAAAAAATAATGAAATAGATATTATAAGAAAATCGTAATAGTTTTAGATTGCATATTCAGTCAAAATTCTCATTTTTTATTAAAAAATATGCAAATTGATTTGTTTTTTCTATATTTACTAAGTGATAAAATAATCAAAACTATTACTTTGGACAATAGAAAAATATAACTGAATTTATAAAACTATATTTAAAAAGAAAGAAATATATTCCAACTCAATGTTTGAAATATGAAAGGGTAAAGAATAAGAGATATGAAAGGGTAAAGAATAAGAGATATGAAAACTGGATGAGATATGAAAGATATACGATTAAAAAAAGCAAATATTAAAATGTAATACATGCTAAACATTGTCAAAAACACCAATATGAGTTTAGAATTTTTAAAATACCACTAGCATCGTTATGCAATGTATTAATTAATACAAATGCACATTATTCCGAACTGTGTTTGCCTTTATTAAGATTCAGTACTGTATGTTCCTTTATTACGCGGGTCGCTAGGATCAGCTCCATCAACAGAAATATGTTTGCCTTTTCTATTACGTGGGTCGCTAGGATCAGCTCCATCAACAGCAATATTTTTGCCTTTATTACGTGGGTCGCTAGGGTCAGCTCCATCAATGGATTCAAGAGATACTGGTCTGGCTATAACATTTATTATTGCCAACAAAAAGACAAAAATAAGAATGTTTATTGTAATGGATTTCATATTGAAATGATTTCTTATAAAAGTTTTTTTTATGATTATTTCACTCAGTGGTAATAAGTAGATAATTTTTTGTGGGCATAGTGGTGAAATACACCAATTTATAACTCTTTGAAATTTTAAAATGATTATGATTCATTGAAAAAAATTTTGTCAAATAATTCCAGGCCTAAACCTTATTAGTAGTGTCCAAATTTGATTTAACATTCAAATATTTGATGCTGAATATCTAAATCAATGATAGACAACTGTATTTTACATATGTCACAATAGCTAATTTTGGAGATTAGTCTATCAGTAAAGTTTCTATAACTAAATTTCGGACAGAAGTTTTATCAGCTGATTTTACTACGGATAGAAACTTTATTGATCTTTAAATGAATTTTATAAATTAACATTAAATCTATAATTACATATATGGCTATCGGAAATTCCTAATCAGATTAAATTCAAAATTGAAACTAAAGCAATGGTCATTTCGAAATAAAATCAGAAAAATTTTTATTTTTCTGTTTATAATTCAACATAGTAAAATTACAAATATGGGGTCTTTGCCTTGAAAATCACCTTCTGACATTTCTGATCGGACAAAAATAAACCCGAGTACCGGTTCATATTCATATGTAATCATCTTTTACAGCTGATTTCATAATTCATGGGGCACCTTGATAAAAATTAGCCGAATGATTTTTCGGCCGATCCGGTTAAATATATATTATTGGGCAAAAATTTGTGAATAATAATAACGGCAATTTGGCAAATGAACACGTGCCACAAAGCGGCACGTGCAGCCAATCATTTGCTAAATTACCGCAAATTTGCCCAATAATGGTGTTATCCAGCAATTTATGATCATGATTGGTAGGGAGTGGTTGACTGAGTTTTAATTTGAATAAACACGATTACATCGTATCACATGAAAAAAATAACGTGTAGGAATTTATTTATGATCATAATAGTTTGCGAATAAGTGATTTCGGCATGATCGATACGTAACGATAAATTACAATTTATTTTACGTTGTATACATATAGATTACATTATAATTTGAAATATATATGTTTTCGCACCGACTAAACACACTACAGCACTAAACATGTTGGGCAAGTATTAAACGAAATTTAATAATATTGAACGTGCCGACATTTATAATGTTAAAATTATAGTAGAAATGTATCATATAAGTTATAATGCATATGTCTTTTACATATAGGGATATAGGGATATATACGTAGGGTTGAAATTTGCGTGTAAAATTCTGATATGTAATTTTTATTATGTAAATAACGTTTTTCAGTAAAAGGTGTTTTTATTACGCCCACTTCAAGTTTTTGGAAGCTTTTTTGCTCGCTCTAAATATTTATATCGTCTACCATTTTTTGAATAAGTGAAAATTAGATTCAATACTTCGAAGCCATTTATTTTGTTTTGAAAGATTATTAGATTTTTCAAAAACAATCGAGTGTCTACACCCAAAGATTCCTATAATGTTCAATTCGTGGCTCTCTATCGCTGTTAACTTTCATCATTCTCTTCTCAAACTTACAGTAACAGTTGCACCAATAAATAAATGAAATGGATTTTTATGGTGAACATATAAATGGCCGTCTCTATTTCACAGAACTTTACGATCTCAAAGTGTTACTGTACTTGCAAAAAAATTCATCAATATAATTTTTTTCTAATTCGTTAATCATTTGAGAAACATCCACATCTATCTCAAGATCCATATGCGTAATGTTTTCCCATCAATATCTATAAGTTTTTCAAGCTCTTCAGATTCTATAACGCTTTTTTTTTGCAAATGCTATTTAAAGTTTTGATCTTTACATTTCCTTTTCTGCTTTCATTTATGAGGGTTAAACACTCAAAGCATGTTTTTTTGAAATGCAAAATGGGTTACATAATTCGACAGAATGAACAATGATGCGTAAAATGCTTATTTTCCATTTTAGCAAATTACGGTAAAATTAAAGAAATAAAAATTTAGATATAAATTATTATTGTATACATTACTAATCAATATCGGTAAATAAATTTAAGCTCCGTATTACGTACGTACATGATTTTGGTGTCGATACTAGGTGGGCCCATATCACATGTATAGATTATTATATGAAAAACATAAAGTCTAATGAAATAAAATCAAATGATTGATATATCATAATCATTGCTTTAAATAAATACTTAGCTAAAGGATCAGACATAGATTTGATTAGTTATAATATTTAGTAATCGAAGAAATAATTTATCGATACTATAATATTATGACTTTCACTTATTCTTGTTGCATATACGACTCATATTGCGCATGCAAGCATAATGCATCAAGCGGGTATTGCTTCGCGCGTGTCACAATAATTCGATAAGTATTATTACATGTCATGACATGTGTCATGACATGTGTTTTGGGTTGTAATTTTTTGAATACGCCTGCACCACTAATCGCGATTTCTCCTTACACTTTCAATTTGTTAAAATTGTGGTTAGAAAGGTGCATCCATTCTTAATACAATGTCAGGGAAAATAGGTGTAAATTTTTTGTTTTAATAATTGTCCGAAGCGTAGCGAAGACTCACTTTGTTTGATAAAAGTTGAATGCACGTCTATGCTATGTATGTCCGAAACATCCAATAAGTGAGAATTGATGGTTCCCGTGATGATCAGCAGTCAGTGTAACTCAATTTAACGGTAGATAGTTCTCTAGGTTACACATGAAGATTTTAACGTACAGTAAATGCATTTTTTCGCTTCGGACCTCTATCAGATTCTGATTTCCTAGTTTATATTGTGACCGATATAGCATATCGTCATCTTATACATAATCCTCAGATAACAGCTCAAGGATAACTGAAATAAGAGTATTGGTGATTACATCAGAGAATTTCAGCTTAAAATCACAAATATGAGAACGTAATCGAACGGATTCTTTAGTAACTTGGTAAGATTGCATACAAATAATTTCTAATTTCTAATGGATTTTAATGAACATCGGAAAGTTTTTAAATGTGAGTTAAAAGCATCTAAGTAACAGTTGTTATTAAATGTTTTAAAATCGATGTCGATATAAGCTTAAATTAAGAAATTATTAAAATTTTATTAATGAGGTATTTATTATATTAGAACTTGAATTACTACTGAATTTGAGAAATCATTGCTAGAAGTTTAAAAACTTGCGAATTTATTAATAGGAACTTCAATTTTGTTTATTGGCTGTTTCCTTTTTAGGGGGACCGTTAAAGCTAAGGTTATTATTTTATAATCTAGAACATGATCATGCGGGCGGTTTCGCCACCCATGGTAAAACAATCAAACCTTGGTTGGTAGATTACTAGATTTTATACTTTGTGACTAGTACATGATCATGTGGCGGCTTTGCCGTCAACTAATAATTAGATATAACAGTATATGGTATTAACAGACACTGACAATTTGATAACACATGATTAATTGAATCAATATATTAAAGTGATGTTTTTTTCATAGTTGTTGGTTTTGTTTGAGTTTTAAGTTTTTTATGTTTTGCTTTGCTTGAATTTTAAGTTTTTATGTTTGCCTTGCTTCGCTCGGCTAGGTTTTATACTCTACATTTTTTACCATAATTCAACAATCATTAATTGCTAACATAAAGTTTTAATCAAGATTCACAATAATGTAGATACAATTTAAGCATATATACTAGAACTTTATATATGGGAGGCTTTGCCATTCAGTTTTAGCTAACTAATAATAGAAGATCAAGTGAAGCGGTAATACAATGATTTATTTGATTAATATTTAAACTTTTTAAAAAATTTTCTCTCTTTTTTAATGAAATAGAACACAAATACATAAAGCAGTTTTGAAAATAACCCGTTCAAGATTTATAGTCACATGGATGATAACTTATATAAATTTAGAAACGATCAGAGTCACGATAAAGATATAATTTAAATTTGGAAAAGATCTTCAAATTCTTTCGCTACAGTGCGGGACAGCATAAATCAACTCTTTTTTATATATGTTTTACAACAAATATTATAACTTAAAAAATAAAAATAAAAAATAAAAAACTATTCTAACCAATTTGTAGCTTTAAGTTTAAGCTACTATTTGGTTAGAAAAGATTTTTAATTTATTTTAATTTTAAAAAGTTATAACAATTTAAATTTTATAATAGATTAAAAATTTGGCCGTTAATATATGGTGCAGGAAGTCTTAACTCTCCGATATAATAGATGATCTTTAAAATCTATTAACTCCTTAAAAAATTAAAATTTTAAAAAACTAACCAGTAATTTTGTT